TCTTAAATAAAGGAAATCAATCAATCTTCAGGAAACGTCGTAGAAGTTCAAAGAATTACGTAGAAGTTCTAGAAACTTTCCAGAAGTGCATACAACTTCATAGGAGTTCAGCTAAGTTTGTGCAAATAAAGAACTTCGTAGAACTTGGGTGAACTTTGTAGAAGTGCAGAGTGTGTTGTAAAACTTCTGCAAATTCCATGCAAGTTCAGAGAACTATGTAGCGGCGCTGGTGGTGTAGTGGTAAGCGTGATGACCTCTCACCCCAGCAGGCCTGGCTTCAATCCCAATTGGCGCCGCCGGGATGTTCTGAGGCATAACATCTCTGATCACGCCTTCCTTCGCAAGGAAATTAAAGCCGTTGATCCCCGGTTCATGAGTTGATGGATATATAGGTAGGGTCCGGGTGTGGGAGCTGCCTCCCTGGCATTGGTGCTCAGCACGGAAAACAAGATCGACGGAAAAACAAATCAAGAAAAAAAAACTATGTAGAAACTTCGTTGCAGTTCAGAGATTTTTCTTTAACTTCGTTGAACTTCGTTAGACTGCGGGGACCTTATAGATGTTCAGGGGACATCGTAGAAATTCATGTAATTTAATAAAATGCGGGGAACTTTGAAGTACTTCAGAGAACATTGTAGAAATGCAGGGAACTTTGTTTGGAGAACTCGGTTGATGTTATGGGGAATTTGTTTAGTTTCAAACTCAATAAAAGTTTGTTTTAACTTCAGGGCACTTCGATAAAGTTGAATGGACCTGAAGATCAGGAAACTTTGTAGAACTTCAGCAAACTTCGCAAAAAATAAAAAAATGCTTATAAGTTAAGGGAATTTCATTGAAGTGCAGCGAACTTCATAGTAGTTTAGCGAACTATTTTTAGGAGCAACTTCGTAAAACTTCATAGAAGCAAAGATTATTTGGAAACAGTTGAGGGAATCTCGTTTAGCCCAAATGTTCAGGAAAATTCGAAAAAACGGGATCTTCCCGAAAGTATGAACAAGTCCATGGATGTTCTGAGATCTTAGTCGAATTAAGAGAGGAAAACATAATTATGAAACTCGAGAGAAGATCACGGAACTTCTTTGAAATTTTTTTTGTAGGGGATCACGGGGTAAGACGACCACCCTATGCTATAAATGTAATCAAAACTATGTGAAATTACTGCGATAAATTAAGTGAAAAAAAGCAAATTTATCTGTAGAGTACTTCTTTAAATACACTGCACAGTGGTCCTGGAATGCTCAGAAACGAGTAATTTGAGTGACTTTTTGTATTCGGCATAAAAAAAATTGTATAAAAAGCGCCATCTTTTGGTAAAAAAATATACTAAACTTGTACTAAACTATTAATCAAAATATATATTTTTAGTTACTCATTCTAGAGATGTGCGGTCTTCGACAAAGTTGTTTATTAGTCAAAAATATGAAACCCTAACGAAGACGTCAAATTTGTGGCGTTAGTTTGTAAGGTAAAACATAGTTAACTATGTTTTATCATCAAAAGTAGTAGTTTTTATATTGAAGAAATTTAGTAGAAATTCGGGAAATTTCGTTGACGTTCAGGGACTTCTTAGATATTCATAGGAGATAAATAAATTTATTCAATTAATTAAATGAATAGACAGTTTCAATATCAATTCAGTCGAGCTTCAGATTATTTTGAAAAAAAATTAGAATTTTGCAATAATTCGGGAAAGCTATGAAGACCTAAGAACTTTATACAAGTTTGAAAAATTTCGTTGAAGTTATGGGAACTTTGGGTTATTTTGAGAAACTTCTTAAAGCTTCAGGGCACTTTATAAAACTTACAATTATTTCTTAAGACTTCTTAACTTTTTAAGCCTTAAAATAGGTTAGGAAATTCCGTAGAAATTTGTTTAACTTCAGGGAGCTTCATCAAAAATCACCTATATTCTAAAAATGTCAGGTTACTTTTAAGAGTGCAGCAAACTTCATGAGAATTCAGCGAACTTTATAGAAGTCAAGAGAATTACGTAGTAAAGGAACTTCGTAAAACTTCATAGAAGTGCTCGAATTTTTCAAGTTCATAAGAGTTTCGCTCAGTGACCTTCGCAGAAGCTAAGCAAATATTGCAGAAATTCATCATATTTCATAGAACTTCAGGGATTGATTTCAAAATTAAGTTTCCAAAATTGTTCGCTCAGATATTTAAGGAAATTCGTAGAAAAGGTTTAATCTTCAATCTGATCTTTGGAGAAGGTCATGGATGTTCTGAGGTCTTGCTCGAATTTAAAGAAATTGAAAGACGTAACTTAAAACTTCGTGGAAGTTGTGGAGGCGAACCAGCCCCAGGCTGAAAACCTTCCTAATAAGGAAAACTCAACTTAACTTAACTTCGTGGAAGTTCAGACAATTTTCAAAAAGTAAAGATTAGGAAGGTTTGAATATGTTCAAGGAATATTACTGAGTACGGTGCTGACGCAGAATACCAGGTTCAAGAATCAGTGGGAGCTAAATGCTGGATTTTAGTGGCTTCACAACCAATTTTCAAAATTCTTACACCAATTTCTTACCCATTTCATCTAGTTGACACCTACTGAATATTTATGTTTTAGGGATGTTTTTTGCCTCCCTTAGCTCAATCGGTAAAGGCGCAGCTACAAAGCAAAACCATGCTGGAGAACACTAAGTTGAGAGCATGCAATAAGCTAATATGCGATATTCAATAAGCTGGAAATGCGAAGAAGAAGAAGAAGAAGAATGTTCAAAATTCCTCTGAAGCGCTGTGAGCGTGACACGCTCCAAATAAAACTACATATTTTGAAATAAGTATGCCTATTTTAACTGAAATCGTCTCTCTCCACAGTTCTTCTTTAAATTTAACTAGGTCAGCATGCGGACCCGATTTGAAAGAAAATACAATTTTTAACATCCCTAGAATGCTGTATGAGACCTCGCAGCTGGCAAATATAAAGAACTACTACATACAAACACCTAAGCATGCCGATCGACAACTCTTCCTTCATGATTTCTCATGCATAGATTATCTTATATAGTCTCGCTAGCCTCTGCGGACAGAGGCCACGTGGGCTCTGGGTTTGTAATCAGTGCTATGGGTCTATTCGTGAACCTGCGGTCTTGTTCGCAATGGCACCTTGGCTGGTCGACGTTGGGGTGTGGTTACGGTCCTCGAACGGGACTTGGGGCCTCCTCGTAGTATTTTGAGCTAAGCTCACGCCAGAACCTTGGCGACTCTTCGGGGTTGCGGTACACTGGTGGGCTGGATTTACAGACAAGCTTGCTGATACTTTACGGGACTCTGGTTCCGGTTCAGCTGGCTTAGCTAACCGGTAACAGAACGGCTCAAAGAGGAATACAATCGTTCGGTGAGGGAAATATCAAAGGGGGTAGGTATTACAATAGGGCACTGCTGGTTTTAATTCCGGGGTTCATAATCATTTTATGGGTGATTAGGCCTACCAATGTCCAACTTGTCCAGGTACTTCTTCACCGTTTGGCCGGTTGCTCCGACCTCCCGGCCCAAGGCGCGGAACGATGAGACCACCTTTCCCTTGGTCTTCCTCTTCAGCTTCTGCTGCACTTTATGGTCCCGCAGCACCGTCGAGCGGCCGGAACCAGGCTTCCGTTCGACGCTCTAATCTTTCTACAGAAGGGAGAGGATGTTGTAAATGCCGGATCGACTATATCCGGCGGACACGTAGTGCCTCACGATGCAGCTGGCAGTACGAACAAACCATCAAGCGTAGTTGCTTGACTGTTTTCGCCATGGCTGCTACAAATCAACTGATAACGCTGTCAACTTTTTTCTGTACACTACAGGGTTGCTATGATTGGTGATGCATAGGCGGATTCACCACCTGGTAATCGCATGAAAAATCGCTAAATGCATACGTTATTCTAAAAAGTTCAGGTCACTTTCCATGAGTGCAGCAAACTTCGTAGGAATTCAGAGAACTTTGTAGCAAATCAAGGAACTTAGTAAAACTTCATAGAAGTGCTGGAATTTTTTTTTTTTTTATTTTAAAGCTCAAGGAACTTTGTAAGAGTTCAGCTCAGTGAATTTCGTTAAATTATAGGAAATTTCACAGAAGCTCAGGAAATATTGCAGAAATTCAGCATATTTCTTAGAACTTCAGGACTCGATTTGAAAATTTAAGTTCCTTAAATTGTTCGCTCAGATGTTTAAGAAAATTCTTAGAAAAGGTTCAAGGCCTTTCCTGATGTTTGGAGAAGGTCATAGATGTTCTGAGGTCTTGCTCGAATTGAAAAAAAACTTTACAAACAACGTTATGTAACTTGAAACTTCGTGGAAGTTGAGAAAATTTTCAAAAGATTAGGAAAATTTGAAGATGTTCAAGGAACATTAGAACAATTTTTTCGCCCTTCAGGATTTGTTGGCAAATGCGACCTTCGCCACCTGCTGAGTACGGTGCTGACGCAGAATATCAGGTTCAAGAATCAGTGGGAACTAAATGTTTAACTAGCTAGATCTCAGTGACTTCACAACCAATTTCCAAAACTCTTTCCCCAATGTCAAGAATGCAGATTTAGGTGGAAGGATATATTTTGAGCCTGAAATTGAAACTTTAGACTAAAAGTCTCTTCTACAAAGTTGTTCCTTATAGTTAGGCCCTCATTTTTATGACAATGAATTCTAGGGTGGTAGGGGAAATGACGGCTTCGGCATGACAGACTATCTTCGGCAACCCCTCAAACCATAACAAAACAGTCACCCGTAAAAACGGGTCCAACCAGATCAACAAGATGAGATTGGTACCAGTTTTTGGTAGATCTTACACCGTAACGCACCACTTAGAGGTGATCTACCAACGTTACGGGCAAAATGAAAACAAATGCAAGAGCTTTAATTTATTGAAAATGTCTCATCTAACCAAGCGGAGGAGCGATCGAGTCTCGAATTCGAAGCGAATTCTAAACGCAACCCAATTGACTGCCACCGATCATGCAATCCTTCACGCAGATGACTACTAACCTATTGCCGAACCTTTCTCCCCTCAACAGCATTATGTTCCCATTCTCCTCCCTGCAAGTCGAGTACAGCAACTTCCACCGTTCTTCGCAAATCATGTCCAACGCACTGAGCATGACCAACTCCGGCTTCCCCCACTCGTGGATCGTGTCCGGGCAGGACTTCTGCCCCATTACCTACTCGTCGATCCAGTCGCACAACTCGGCCGTGTCCAACAACCTCGCAACGGTGGAACCGGGACTCATCGAGCTACGCAAGGAGAAATCCCGTGACGCCGCCCGGTCCCGTCGCGGCAAGGAGAACTACGAGTTCTACGAATTGGCCAAGATGCTGCCGCTTCCGGCGGCCATAACCAGCCAGCTGGATAAGGCTTCCATCATCCGACTGACGATCAGTTACCTTAAGCTTAAGGAGTTTAGTGAGAATGGTGTTCCATCATGGAACAAAGAACCGATCGGATTCCAGAACTACACGTCTCCGCAGTATTTCAACGAGATGTTCGAAACTCACCTGGGAACGCACATTCTACAGTCGCTGGACGGTTTCGCCTTATCTACCGGTGTGGATGGACGGTTTCTGTACATTTCTGAGACGGTATCAATCTACTTGGGTTTGTCTCAAGTGGAAATGACCGGAAGCAGCATCTTCGATTACATTCACAAGAGTGATCACGCTGAAGTGGAACAACAGTTGGGGGTTAAAAAGAATTCCGAATACTACAGTTACTCGGATGAACCTCCGGAAAAGACGGTACTGAAGATCGCTAAGGATAACAAACCGCTTCCTGGTGAGGCCTACGAAGGAGTTGATCGTGCGTTCTGCCTGCGGATGAAATCCACCCTTACCAAGCGTGGATGCCACTTCAAATCCTCCGGCTACAGGGTGATCCTGTTGCTGTGTCACCTGCGGAAGAAGAACAACTCCACGGATGACCATAGCGAAAAGCAAACTGTGATCGGAATGGTGGGAATTGGGATCGCCTTGCCACCACCCTCGCTGCACGAAATCAAACTGGAATCGGATATGTTTGTCTTCCGGACCAGCTTGGATCTGACGATCATTCACTGCGAAAATAGGTAAGTCCATGAGATTTCGATTTTGTTATTAATTTAAGAACAAACCTTTGGCTATTGCAGAATTTCCAGCTTTCTGGACTACACGGCCGACGAGTTGAACGGGAAGAGCATCTACATGCTCTGCCATGGACAGGATGCTCCCAAGCTGAAGAAAAGTCACAGTGAATGTAAGTTTAACCATTTGATGAAATGCGTTTGATCTTCGAACAAACCCCCAACTCTTCTTTGCAGTAATCCAAAAAGGCCAGGTACTGACCCCATTCTACCGAATCTTGAACAAAAACTCCGGCTACTTCTGGATCCAGACCTGCTGTACGATGGTCTGTCAGACGAAGAACATGAGCGATCAGACGGTGATCTGCGTGAACTATATCATCACCGCTCCGCAAAAGGAAAACATGATCCTGGATATCTCGCAAATGCCAAATGTTAACCACAACGATTACCACATTGGAAGCAAAAGTGCTGCCACTGCTGCCAAGCGAGCGGCGGCCGCCAACATGGAGTACGAAATGGAAGGCAAAGACAAGTACGGCGAACTCGCAGGCAGTCAACCGGAACCGTACCACGATGGGGGGCACGTCGATCACAAGGAACTGATCGAAAAATCACCGCACAAAGCGATGGGAGGCCTGGGAATGTTCGACAAGAAGGATTCGCTGGACTACAACAAGGACAAACATCTGGAACGGGAAAAGGGCTGCACCAACAGTAAAGTGAGTACATTTAGGATTTAGCAATTGAAATTGTCTTGGGACTAATTTGAAACTTACAATACAACAGCAACAACGACTCAAAGCCGGCAGTCCGATGATGAACATGTCGGCCAATGAAAACCAAGGAATCGAGAAGAAAGCCGCCAACGGCAAAAAGAACATCTCCAACCGGGCGAGCGTGATTCGGGTGCTGAACAAGACTTCGTCGAAGAAGATCCTACAGGAAAATCATTGAAACGATCAATTCTACTAACAACAACACACATCCCCCCTTCCCAAACGTACTAAATCGTCCCTCCCTTCATTGTATGATCTATGATAATGCTACGCCGCATGAGAACAACAATACTCGTGTCTATTTATTGCTTCAGCCAGAGTTATCCTCTTTCAAATAATACTCGTGTCATTTACTTCTGGAGCCGAGAATTGTGCATTTTAGGCAAAAGCGAAAAAGACAAACCATAAACAAAGCATTGTTATTCTTCACAATCGTACTACTATAAGCAAAGTAACCACAGTGTCAGTATATGTTATATGAATCATACCAAGTAGTATTTGTAATTATTATTAAGTTAGTAAAGAACTAGTAATGAGCGGCGAAAAACAAAATCCACAGTGAGTAATAAAAAAGAAAAAGTATTATGTTTTAGTACTATTGGATATTAGTCAAAATTAGTTCGCTGCGAGTTGGAGCTTTGATCCGAAATAACCTTGTTTGTTCATTTCCAAAAATAATATTTCAAGCAGTGTTGGGAAAATATCTTAAAATCAAATCTCACCAACAATCAAAATCACGCTAGATTTTCGTAGACAACATTCAACAAGCAAACAACTGCAATTGATATTTAGGCCTATTCTGCGCGGCGTGTGAGGTGAGGTGACAGTAAAGTGATGGTGAAGTGACAATTGTCATCTCGGGTGAGGAGACTCTCCATGCAAATCAAATGGAGAGTCATCTCACCCGGGGTGACAATTGTCACTTCACTAGTGAAAGTGAGTCACCTTACTTCACATCACACGCCGCGCAGAATAGGCCTAATTAACCACTTTATTTGAGCACTTAAAATGACGTTTACTACCACTCGAACTTTGAAATAAAACATTATTTTGAGATTTTTTTATTCTAGTACCTCGAGAAAAGTAGCCAACATTTGTGCGTTTCATAAAAAAATAGAAATTATTTGGTCCAGTTTTGTTAAATCGCTGGTAGAAAGTCACGCCAAAACTGCTTGACAAAGTGGTCAATTGCAAGCTGTGATATCGTAGCTCGGAATATCAAGCTAACAAAATTCACCAGGTGCAAATCTCACCAAACTGTGGTGAGATTTAGTTTCATTATTTTTGCTTTACACCCAAATGCATCCGAAACTTCCACAACGGCTGGCAGCGGAATCATTTTTTAATCAGATTCAACTCTTAAGGTCCATCCACATTAGATCCGTTTGCGTTGCGTTGACGTAAATTTGGCAGTTAGACCACCGACAAACCGACATGAGTGACCATAGCAAAAACAATAAAATTTCTGATCAAAGCTCACTACTGACATCTGGCTCAGTGTTCGCGGGAAATATTTAGCTAAGCCATGAACCCGCATGCAAAAGTTATGGATTGGTTCGTGTCTGATCTATTCTGGTTTAATTATTTTTTATTTAGATCAATACATCCTATGGTTATGACAGTTCGGATCACTTCACATTCAAATCGGCCGTTTAAGATTTTCGGGCATAAGTCAGAATTGAGTGTCATGTCGGTTTGTCGGTGGTTAGGCAATAGATTTAGCTGTCACTTTGACGCAAAGCGTCAGATCCGGATCTGAATGTGGGTGGCCCTTAAGCTTCAAATTTACGCGTTTTAAAGTCAATAGTCTTGCGCTTGTAAAATCAATATCAAGCATGATATTTTGCTCCAATATCACACGTAATAAACATCAATTTGTTAATGATGATGCCATTACTGATTTCAAGAATTCAAGTCATATTCAAAAGCCAAACTTGAAACAAAATGCTAGTTAAATGTAAGAGTTGCCAGTCTTCTTGATTTGTTGTCACGTCTGTTTATTTTCTCGATTCTTCGACGCGGATATTCCTCTGGTTCGTTCGTTTTACTGACTAGTTGGTCATTTCCTCCCGACAGGTTATGGGCCCAGAGGAGAATCGGTGAAAAGTTCGGTTTGTTTGGTGAAAAATAAACGCGATAGTTTACGGTTGAATCACCGACAAACCGACATGACACTTAATTCTGACTTGTGCCCGAAAATCGTTAACGGCCTATTTAAATGTGCAGTGATCCGAACTGTCAAAACCATAGGATATTTTTATCTAGATAAAAATAATTTCTCCAGAAGAGATCAGACACAAGAAATTCATAACTTTTGCAAACGGGTTCATGGCTTAGCTAAATAATTCCCGCGAATACGGAGTCAGATGTCAGTAGTGTGCTTTGGACAGAAATGTTACTGTTTTTGCTATGGAGCTGGCTGATTCGCTGGACGAATCCAGGAAGAATTTCCACTGCCAAACTCAGAAACAGCAATCTGGAAATTCCAGGTGGAGATGTTCCTGACGCGAGAGGACTTATGGAATCACGAGAAGACGACTGCTTCATCTCAACTGTCACTTCTTATGCGATATGAAAGTAGGAAAAGAGTGGAATGTTGAGAAGCACTAGTTAGAAATGGATGTGCTTTTCGAACAGCTGCAGAATACGGGACTCGAGTTGGTGGAAAAATTGAAGATTGTGATGGTTCTTCGCAGTATGCCAGAATCCTGCCGCTTCCTGGCATGAACTCTAGAAGCTCGACAGGATGAGGACGTAACGATGCAGTTAATCCGATTGAAACTTAAACACGAGTATCGGAAGTGTGCCGAGCGGAAAGGACTATCAACGGCGGCAGAAGAACAAGTACTCAAGACGCAGGCTGGTAAGCCTAGGGTTTGCTTATTTTGCAACAAACCTGGACACTTCAAGAAATAATGCAGGAAGTATCAGGCAGTTCAAGAAAAGCAGCAGGAAGGTGAATATTCCGGAGGCAAACCGGGTGCAGGCAAGAAGAAGCATGCGAAGCAGATCAAGGAGGAGGATTGCGAAGCTGTTAGCTGTTCTGCGCGGGAAGTGGACGAAGCTGTATGTGCAAATGTCAAGGAAACTGGTTTGTTGACGTTTGACAGCGGAGCATCCTGCCACATGACGAGCTGCATGAGCTTTTGTGACAAGCTAGACGAATCGTCGGTTACTACTGTGGTGATGGCTTACGGTAAGTGGATGTACCAGATTTGGAAAGTGAGTTATTTTCGGTCAAAGTCATTTACACCCCTTTCCTTCCAACCCCCTCAAATGAGATTGTACGCAGTTTTAAAAAATCATGTTTTGAGATAAACGCGCGTCTCGAGCCGAGAGCGTCCCATGGTGGGATGGCGGGACGCTGCTTCGAACAATGGCCTGTAGAAACTTTTCTTGTGCGCGGATCGAAAAACCCCTTCAACACAATATAGTAGACACTCATACCTTTCAAAAAATGCAATAACAAAAAAAAAAAATACTTTTTGAAAATTTGGAATGAGAACCTCTCCTTAAACGATCAACATCCAGATCACAATGGTCCAGAAGGGAGAATTTCAGCAAAAAAAAAGTGCATGAAGATGAAGTTTAATCCGTCTGGTGTGTTTAGAAAAGTTTTTAGTTGAAAAAAGGCGCATTTGATGAAGGGGTCGTTGAAAATTCTAACTCTTTTAGCTGACAATTTTTTATATTGAAATAATACACCATCCGCTTCGGGGATCCAACATTCCCAATATCAGTGGTGGTCGACGTGGCTGCCGATTTTGACCTCATCGTATTAAACGACGGTTCCCCAACCTTTACGCGAGGACAGATCGACACTGCTATCGACGTCTCTCTTGCCAGCAGCAGAATTGTGAATCAACTACAGTGGTACATGGTGGTACCAACCGGTGGAAACTAACGATTTTAAATTGGCTCACTACTTGACTAGCCTATTGGTCCCAAGCAAATCGATTAACGTACCCCATTCTAGTCGAAATTCTAGTCCTACACAATGTTTGTTTTGATTTGCCTTAAAAGTTTGACAGATAAAATAAGGGGTTCGTGGATTTTCCTATGTTTCAAGGGGTGCATCGATTAGCTTGGGACCGAAGATAGTACTAGAGCTGAGCCAAAAAGTTGAGCACGTTTTTTCGGGACCTTCTGGTCTTAGAGTTACCTCTATGGTGGTACTGTTCGGACGACCCATTAGGGAGTGACCACCGTCCAATTACCATTTATACGACTGTCCACCGGAGACATCCCGTCGTCCTAGTTGGCGGTATGAACTAGCTGATTGGGCCTCATATGAGATGAACATCAACGACAAGCTCAGGCACAGGGAACAGAGTTGCGACCTATCACAATCACCATCAACAAACAGCTGATGGTAGTAACGCTTTGTACATTCCTATCAATGTGCTCGTCGAAGCTCTCTCCATGACCATCCATCAAGTTGACGAAAGAAGTAAAAAGCAACTGATGAATGTCGTCTTCTGTTGTGATCCATCACCGATCTGGTCATTCCTGACAATCACGACACTCATCTGTGCTCGTTTTGAAGCAGTTGCTGCTTTGCTTGCTTATGTGAGTGTGTTGGTGAGTGAGCCCAATAGCTTCCGTTTAATGTTGCCTGCTTTGTTTGTAACTCACACACTCGCGCCTGCCGAGACGAACTTGGAATGCGTAGGCATTATTTTCATTTTCTTCTGTCGTTTCGCTTTTTCTCATGATCGTACTGCAGAAGTCTTCACTGTTTTCGTTGTGCTTTTCATTATCAGCAGCGAGTGTAACGTTTTGCTTGTGAGCAGCGACCATTACTGGTGATTGTTGATTGCCATGGCTCTAACTCTCACTGCGTGACAAAACTATCTGTCAGCGATAGTCGGTTGATGCGAAGACGAGTGTTACGTGAGTGTCATGATATTTTGCATCACTGACAGGGAAACAATCAATGTTGAAGAGTTAACCAGCACCATTCTAACCACTGCATCGGAGTCCATACCGAGGACCAGTGCAAACGCGGGACGCAGGGCCTCGCGCTGGTGGTCCGCCGAAACTCGAACCGCCGTTAAAGCGAGGAGAAAAGCATTGAGGAAGGTAAAAAAAAAACTCCCCATCGATCATCCGTCAAATCATAAAAGAGGCCAAGACAAAGAGCTGGGAGGAGTTCCTAAACTCTATCAATAGCAGTATCTCCACAACGGAACTATGGAAAAGAGCAAACGCTTTAAGAGGCAAACGGCCTGGTAATCCGCCAGCAATCTGGAGTCACTGGGGACCCCGTTGTAGTCGTAAACGAGCTTGGTACATATTTCGCCAAGCTCAGTGCGATCGAAGGATATGACAACGAATTTCGACAGAACGAGGCCATCGACAAAACGTTGGAGTCCATAGCAATTCCGGATCCAGAACCACCATCGACCATCAACCAACCATTCTCGTTATTGGAAATGTGCTACGCATTGGCAAATGGAAAAGGTAAATCCGTTGACCCAGACGACGTTGGCTACCCTCCCCTCCGACACCTCCCACCTTGTGGTAAACAGCTCCTCCTGGATATCTACAACAAAATATGGACTGA